TTAGTGTAACGTGACATTTTTGCATGGGGGTTAAAAATGCCTATTACCTTCGCCCTTCTTCCCCTGAATCTAGTTAAACTCAAAAATGTAGAAATCTATGGGCGCCAGGTAATTTTTAACCGTAATTACCAAACCGGAGGAGTCTACAAAAACAGCTCTACTAATTCAGAAACCTCTAAAACGTACACAAAGAAGGGAGAAAACTAGATTTTTGGGGAAAGGTAACGGTCCTTGGTTCGCTCAGTGTGCTAGTTTGTGGAGAAAGGGGTGGATTTCCGGTGGAAACGGGTTAATGAGGCGGTCAAAACTACAAAACAACAAAAACCAAAAATAGGAAGAGATCGACATTGTCCTTACTGATTTCACTATTGAAATTTGTCAAAATAAAGAGTTTACATTTACATACAGTGGTCTTACAAAAAAAAGAAAAGATTTATAATAATAACCAGCATTTTCCTAACGAACGCAAAATAATGAATTGACTCGAAATATTTGGTTCTGACAATAATACATAATTGATTAATTCGGCTTCAAAGGGAGGTTATCAATTCCTCAATAATAATATTGTAAAGAATGGGCACATTTTATAATAACTAACTGTTTATTAAAGATTTTGGGGCGAAATAAATAATAAAAAGAAATACAAAAAAATTGACGCGTCCGGGGACTAGAAAACAAGATAAAAGAGTAACGTGAAAGAAAGAGACGATCGTACATGAAGGTGGTTGAGAGGGAGGAAAAGGGCAAATACGTAACACTATTCCCTCTCTTGAAAAGTTGTCGCCCCGACAACAACGCGCCTGTTAAAGGTAATTGTAGTGAAATTTCAGTTAATAAATAACTGAAATGATACTTCAATTATCTGGGGCCTTCAACTCAACTCTCTTCCAAAAAACCCAGATGGAAAATAACAAAAACAGAGAAGGTTTGACCCGAAATAATTAATTATGTCTTCACAGGAGATTCTTCATCTTTATGAAGTTCGGAAGGTCCAGTTGTCTCTCGAGGTTTCTCCAGAGGAATGGGAAGGAAGTCGAGGATTTGAACTGGAAAAGAAATGTTAGGAACGGCAAAAATCAATTGTTCACATTAATTTGAAAGAGTTGAAAAGAACTTGAAATCTATTCAAGTATTTGCATCAAGTATTGATTTTTTGACAAGTATTTTTAGGTAATACATAATCATTCATAATCTTCTCGGGCATAAATAAATAAAAGTAGGAATATCTTCTCGGAGCTAAATAATTGAAATAAATGGATCTTGCCGAAGATAAATAATTGAAAGTAGGAATATCTTCTCGGGGTTAAATAATTAAAAGAAATGGATCTTCCCGAAGATAAATAATTGAACGTAGGAATATCTTCTCGGGGATAAATAATTATAAGAAATGGGTCTTCCCGAGGATAAATAATTACAAAAAAATAAATCTTCCCGAGGATAAATAAATTAGAATCCAAGAAAATGGGTTTTCTCGAGGATAAATCGTCTCGACGATCAACAATTGAACCGAATAAATCTTCTGAGATTAGTTGTGGCCATCAACTAAAATCAAAATAATGAAAAGGATGCAAATAGCTGCACAGCCTAATTATTTCTCGAGAGGGGCAAGCCGGAATATGAATGAACTTCGGCTCAAAATGGACGCATATTTAAATCCGATGACATATTTCGTTCGATTTTTCGTTGATCACAAACAGATCGATAATGAATGGATCTTCCCAGTCCATCTCAGAAGTTTTTTTAAAATGCTTTTTATTATGTGAATTTACTTCAAATGCTTTTGAAGCACTATAGGAAGGGAAGCGCATTAATTTTTCTACGTTGTCTGCAAAAGTTTTAAAATGTCTTTTTTTAGTTAAACACAAACGCGTATTCGTAAATAATAGACGTAGTGGAGTTATTATTTTCATTACTTTCAAGCGAAAATCAAAATTGTCGTTCCATTTACTAATATTCGTGAAATGTGTAGCCGGAAGTGTCTCAACAATTGCTTCAAATTGATCACGAAGGGAAGAAAATAAATATGGGATAGGAAATCTACGTCACTACACATTGTCATTCGCAATGACGCCAAAAATTCGTTCATATTGCGACAATGGCGTTACGATCAATTGATGATTTTCTGGACTTTGTGTGAATGCAGTTTTGTGAGTGTTTTGTGAGTGTAGAGGAGTTGATTAGAAAGAGTCTGGTTAAATGTATTGGAATGATCCGGAAATGATGGGAAAGGACAGGGAGAAATAGACTTATCTTTTGTAAGTCTTATGAGTTGATTCCATAGATTGCGGACATGCTGGATTCCCTATCCGGTGGGTCGTCTTGAAGTAGTTATTCCGCCCGATGCACGTTTCGATTTTAAACGCGTTTACGGTTTATTTTGCACTAATAAATCACGCACGGCTGACACCAATGTAAAGAATGGGCACATTTTATAATAACTAACTGTTTATTAAAGATTTTGTGGCGAAATAAATGATAAAAAGAAATACAAAAAGAATTGACGCGTCCGCGGACTAGAAAACAAGNGGCTGACACCAATGTAAAGAATGGGCACATTTTATAATAACTAACTGTTTATTAAAGATTTTGTGGCGAAATAAATGATAAAAAGAAATACAAAAAGAATTGACGCGTCCGCGGACTAGAAAACAAGATAAAAGAGTAACGTGAAAGAAAGAGACGATCGTACATGAAGGTGGTCGAGAGGGAAGAAAAGGGCAAATACGTAACAATATAAAAATATTCATTAATCCCGAAATACTCGAGAATTGAACTGGGGGAAAGGTATACGAATCCCCATGAGAGTGAGGGAGCGAGGAAATGAACCCACCAGTATACGTATAACATACGGCGGAAGAAGATAAAAATATAACTAAAAATAATAAAAATTCGCTAAAAATTCGCCGTAGTGGAAAATCGGTAGAGTAAAATCCGAAAAACCCAGAGCCCAGTTGCTTGAGAAGGTCTAGAGAAGTCCATGAAACCAAAATCATAATTTTTGGATCATTGGGAGCCACTCCGGATTGATTTATATCCGGAGGGAAATTCGAACGAGGAAATACTCACGGGAAGCGAGAGCCGCTATTCGTCGGCGCGTTAGCGGGGTGCCGCGATTGGGAAACATTCATGGGGAATGCTCGAGCCGCTCTACGCAATTTATACATAGAGGGAGGTGGAGATACTCCTCGCCATAGGAGCGAGGGAGAGAGAAATAGCCTAAGTCGAAAATCTTCGGATTTCGACTGGGAAAATACATAATGAGCCCACTGAACAATATGACCGGGATAAACAGGAAGTCGCGAAGGAAACGCGGCACCGACCCGATTCGGGTGGAATAACCGATTAAAATCGGTGTAACATACAGATAAAAATTCCGAACACCCGTTAAATCCCCAAAAATGATAAATCTAGATACCGAACGAGGGATTGTTCGGAGGTTAATCCACTCTACGTGGCTGAGACCACGAGAGGGAATCCACCACGAGGGGGAAAAACCGACGCCATTCTCAATGGCTCGGACAAAACTCAATTTCCACCGTAAAAACTCACTTTTACTGGACGCTTGGTTGTCCTCTTCCCCTTACGGACCATCTTTTAGTCCTCACGGCTTCTCCAAAAGACACAATAATCCGAGTGGCACAATTACGTTGCGTGGGCACACACAGAAATTCGCACGTGACTAGTGGTTGATGACGGTCAACGCGGAACTAACTGCCCTGGATAAGTGTCACGGGCACTAACCGCAGCGCGAATTGCGGCCAACAGAGGCGGGCTCTGATTGGCGGAGATTTTGACACATCAAGCGTTGGCTTCGATGGCGCCACCAAATGATTTCGGGAAATTCAAGACTCAACTCCAATTTTTCTCTACATAACTTTATAAACTAAAATGACGGTTACTCCGGGCCGAACTGGTGGACGTTCGGAAAATATCGAGGGTTTTTGGCGCCTCCTACGGGTCGGTTCGCCTGGATTCACGGGGTTAAAAGACCGATACTCCTAATTCTCCTAATTTTCCAAAACTCTAAGCAAACTCGCAATTCACGGGATACAAGGGTTGCACTTGTTCCACGTGACCTTCCACCGAAAAACTAAAACGTAACCATTTAACCGCCGTAAAATCCATCATAATTTGGAGCGCCGGAATTTAGCCGGATCTAATCGATTTGCCGTAAGATTAACAATAGGGTGGCTCCCATAAGAATTATCGGATGACTCATAACTTGGCCCTTCTCCGCGATAATTCCATGGGCCCTCAAAAACGCTTAATTATTCCGGTCTTGAGATCCAAAAAAAATGATATTACGGAAACAAAACCTTGAGACACAAATTTAGCCACGCCATGGCGTGGAAATCCCAAAATCTTATTGTCGCCACAAGGATTGGACTTCTGACCACCTCGGGGTGGAAAAGCGAAACTCTCTCTCTCTCTCTACTTTTTACTCACGGATCGCCTTCCTATGTCACGGGGGTTAGTTGTTCTGATGGCAGTATCGTTTCCTAACGAACATTCCCACATGTTCGTTACACTTGATACACTCAGATGATGAAAATTTCCCATTGTCATTGAACTAAAAATTTGAATTGCGATCGTCGAAATCGTTAACAAATTCACGGTAAAATGAAACTATCTGCAGGAGACGACGAATTTTCAGAATGATTGACGTCCATTCATTTCGAATTGTTAATCTTTCAATAAAAAATCGAAGAGGATTTCTTCAATAAAAGAAAGAATCAAAGAATCTGGTCAGACGATTTGAAATTATCAAATAAAACATTCAGACTTGTCAAAGTAAATTCACCTCTGCCAAAATAAATAGCACACCTCCAACATCGAGAATATATCCACCAAGTCTGGTAAATGTTTAACAAGTGAATCGAAAATCCAATTATATTTTCGGCTGAATTCAGCTGACATACACCGTAAATTCGATAATAAAAATCATTTATTCATTTACAAGTTCTAATCGATTTATCTTAACACATTAATATTTAATCATTAGCTCATGATATGCAATTAGACGGAAGCGTTCTCTAGTGATTGACAGTTATTACAAAATTACGCGACTTTGTCTACTCTCACTCTATAAAATATCGATAACCAATAGAATAATGAAGGGAATAAAGAATGAAGATGTATCGAGCCCGAGGATTCCTTCATAAAAAATATATATTTTGCCTCGATCGATTGCACATTCTTCTGTTCCCAAAACAATAACTTTGAGCTACTCCCCCCCCCCTACCCCTCATTCTCTCTCTGTCTCTCAACACACTAAAAACTAGTCAACTTTATCGTTCACAGAAGAGTCACTCCCCTCCCCTAAGTGCTCACTCCTCTCCTCACTTTGATCTCCCCCAGTATTCACAACAATCTCCTCTTTGACAATGATATTGTCTACAGTGTCTTTTGATGTATCTTTATCATCATGCGTTGAAACATGATGCTCCAGTTCATTTCTAAAGGTGAACCTTAGACTGCAGTGTGGACAGTCGTACGGACGGGTTGAATCAGTTTGTTCCTGAAAACAAAAGACATCAAGTCGTTTTTTATAACATTATAATAGTCATTATGATCAATACTTCACTCCAAAAATGATTATTCAGTCAGCAGTCAGAAGGTTTGGTCACCATCAAATTTTCTCAAAAGTCAGACGTTCTTAACCCTAGATTGGTCACCCTATGAGGGAAACCAAGGCGCGCGTCGGTGTTCTTTTATTACAATTGACTGGTTTACCGAAAAAATTCAAAAAAATTTCACTTTGTCAATTGAAGTGTCTAAAAAATTATAGTAGTTTTTAGAACAGCATATTTCCCAAAATTCCTAAAGAAAACAAGTTATTTCAGACAGATGAATTATTTTTTCCCATGTTAACCCTCTGACTCGCAAACCGTATGAAACCGCATCGGCGTGATAGCCGCCGTGTCGGTGAGAAATGGTCACGTGACTATTCCCTCCTGTCGCGTCAGGACCGTTGCAAGTGTTCCAAAGCTATCGGGGCCCTCTGCATATTCTCGCGTAATATGTAATAGAAATTTTGATAGAGTCAACCAATAATGACAGATAAAGAAAAGAAATGTCAGTGATAGAGTCTGTGCCTGAAAAAATTAAAGTTCATTGAAAAGTGTGTGTGGAAGTCTTCGTAAATACGTAAAGCGAAGAAGGATACCTTCAAATTATGAAATGAATCCAGATGATTTTTTAGCAAAGAAAAAGAACAAATTAATCGAAAACTAGAACAAAAATGGTCTTCAAAAATTAAGAATTATCCAGTGCAACCATTTGTTGAAAATTGAGGTCCTGCTCATGATTTGGAGATTGATAGCAACAAGATGTCTTATTTCAAATAACTTGTTTTTTACTTAAATTTATTTAATCCTATCTACCAATGAATTCCATTTAAAAATTTGTATATTTGAGACTCATGTATTCAAACGTACGTTTAGTGCTACAGCACTCTTCGCGCGCTCGCTACTCATCCTTTTCGACGTCGAACGTCCGGCCCCCATAGGTAGTGGGGATAAGATTGCGAGTCAGAGGGTTGAATGAAATTGCCCATTACGCGACGTTGCCGGAAATTCGCTAAACGCTTCCGGGTAGTGTAGAGCGAAATCAGCAACGCTAAAGCCTAAATAAGACGGTGGAGAATCCCCGCGGAGGTGACCAAAATCACAGGGACGCGTTTGATGACCAGACTAGGGTTAACAACCAAAAGTTCTCTAGGATCAGACATCCTTCAGGGCAGACTTTTCAAGAATTCAAAGCTCTTGAGGGTCAAATATTCTCAAGCTTCAGACCTTCTCAGGGGCCAAAGGCTCCCAAGAATCAAAAATTTCGTTCAGGAACTTTAAAAGTTCTCCATAATGAGACGCCCTTAAATTCCACATATCACCCTTCATTTACCCACCTTTGAACTACAGTTGTCTTCCTCCTCCTTGACCCCCACCCTTTCTCCCTCCTCCTTGCAGACCTCATAAGGACTCGTCAAAATCGGCAGCCCCTGTGAGTGCCTCAGAAAGCACGTCTTACAAACCTTCAGGCCCGTCTTACCCCCCACCTCCTTCGACGGCAGACTGACCCTCTCCTCCTCCCCCATTGCCCTCAGACAAATACAACACCTCCCGACCTCCCCGACCATCCGCTCTTCCTCTTCGCTCCTCAGATGAAACTTGGCATGAAGTTGACATTCAAACTCACTAATAAGCGTCTGCCTGCAAACAACGCAGTGAGCTGGTACATGGCTCACAATGCCTTCCCTCCCCTCGACCCCCTCCAAACTATGTTTGTGAATATGCTCGAGAAAGTCCCTCTCACTGGCCAGCGAAGCCCTGCAGACGACACAAACATCACTCATCTGAATCTTGCAGTGCTTCTGGAGCTTGTGCTCGGCGAGAAAACTTCCGGACGAGAAAACTTCATCACAGATATTGCACTTGTATCTTTTTCCGGGATCAACAGGAGCATGATGAACCCTGGTATGCGACTCCAGCTCCAAGCGGGAGCGAAGACCCTCTCCGCAGTAGCTGCAGACGAAAGAAGCTGACAGTTTCTGAATTTTTGTGGAAATGGTCTTGTGAGCTAGCTTCTTGTGAGCCTTGAGCTCGGAATCGTTTGAGAAGTCTGATCTGTCACAGAGTTCACATTGTTGAGTCCTCATTGGTGGTATTGTTGAATTACTAAAGGAATTGTTATGGTGGTTGCCATTGCTGTTGAAATCTGGAGACCTCCTCCTTTTTAAAGAGTTTTTCTCTTCCGAGTCATCTGCCCTGTCAGTCAAATTGTGCGCATTCGCCATGTGCCTGTCGAGGAGGAATTCGACGGGGAATCCTTCCCTGCAGATAGGGCACCGAAACACGCATGTGGAGTGACTGGCAAGATGATGTTGAAGATCGTTATCTGAAGAGCAGAATATTCCACAGAAGCAACATCTGAAGAACTCCCCAATGACTCTAGGAGTTGAGACCGAGTTGCCAGGGGAATTCAGATCTGGTACATGGACGTTCCTCACATGATCAAGGAGATCTCCAGGGGTTCTGAACCACTCACTATGCTCCAGTCCAGTCCCTCTGCAGGCGCTGCAGGGGTAGACATTGGCTTCCTGCGAATGCTTGAGGGTGAAATGCACCTGGATTCCGACGATTGAATCGAACGTGTCCCTGCAGATCCCGCATCTGTATAACTGATGAGCATGCGCGTCCAACAGGTGCTTCTGGAGTGACTCAGAGTCCCCGAAGAGCTCGTCGCAGGAATCGCAATTGAACTTCTTCAAAATTTGTCCCATAAAGTGCTTCATCAGGTGCAGCAGCATGTCTTCTCGCTCCTGAAACTTGAGCTCACATTTGGGACAGCTAACCTCAGCTGCTGCTTGCTGATTAGCATGGAGATGTCTGGCTAAGTGCGATCTGAAAGATTCAAAGTCTTTCAAGGCTGCGCCACATTGACCACAGAGGAGTGTGCCTGATGAGTAGCTCGGCATCTTCGGAGATTCGTAGAAATTTTCTGCTTCTGAGTTCTTCGAGCGAAGAAGCATGTTCTTGTTTTCACAGTGCTCGAGGACGTAGTGTTCGGCATATACCGTCGTTGATGAACAAGGCTTGAAGCATAGAGGACAGGTCAAGACCGGAAATCCGTCGTTGTGAGCTGACACCAGATGCTCTCGGAGGGATGACAGCTTGTTGAACTTGGCAGAACACCTCCTGCAGGTCAGGTCTTCCAGGTCTGTTGCTCTGTTTCTAAACCTTCGACAATCAGCTGGGTCTGGGGGGGAGGAGGAGGGACTAGGAAGCGGAAGAAGAGTCTCGTGGGCGGTCTGGATGTGTAACTGGAGCTGATCCATCGTGGAGAAGGTATCCCTGCAGTACATGCAGGTCAGGTGCAGTGGGGAGGCATACTGCAGATTTTGTTGGAGCTCCGGGGAGGCCAGCACTGGGGGGGAGGTCGTCGAGAGAGAGCGCTGGTAGTGCGGGGTGCTTAAGAGCCTCTTGTGGGACTGCATGTGGGAGGTTAACGCTGCTGCTGTGTTGTAGCCGCGGGAACATTCGGTGCAGTGGTATGGCTTCTGATTGTCGTGGGTTTTCATGTGAATCTTCAAATGATCGCTGAAATTGAGGGATAAGGGGGGATTAGTATTGATTAATAATAATCAATAATACTCAATCTCAGAAGGGATGATCATTATTGATTAATAATAATCACCCCTTAATGAGTTGTGTTCACCCCTTATTATTATTTATGCTATTAGTATTTTCGAAAAATCTGTGGAATTACTAGGTGCAGAGGAAAACATCAGAAGACCTTGTTCGAAATACAGCCTAAATCTCCATATTAGTCACGGTCGACTAACTCGGCCATCTCCGAAAATCTCCGTGAATTTTCGGGTCAACGGACACAGGTCAGCGCGGCACCCGGAAGAGTCAGTCAGTAGTGTTCAAGTATCGTTACGATAATGAGCTAGCGTATTCAGTCAATCAGTATTCTAAATTTAATATCCTTGTTCAGTACATCAACTTGTTGATTAAGTTCAGTATAATTTCAGTGACTCAACGAGATAAAGGTGAAAAGACAATTATCAGTGAAGTTAGACATTCAACAGTTAATATACCAAAGAGTGTAAAATTACTTGACAAGTGGTTCGATCCCACAAAAATATATTGTGATTTTTTATAAACCGCCTAACATAATTTTCCCAACATCTCCCTCCACATTTTCATCCCACATCCACCCTAACCCTAGACATTCATCAAACAGTGGTCCTTCGAGCCGGATTGTGGGTGAAAACGTGTGTAAAGTGCTATGGAAAATTTAAGGGACGCCTCGTGTCGAAAACACTTTCGGGGTTCGCACGGGCAAGTCAACGGAAAGTTCCAGAACATTCGCTTTGTTTACACCCGCAAGGGCGTCGGGGTAACAAAGGACAAAGTGAGAGTATCAGTGTCGGAATTCGGGAAGCAACGCTTGGCCACGTGCGCCACGCAACAGGCGACTCACCAGAGTTCAGCGGTCGGTAACTCACCCAACTCTCAGCGGTCGGTAACTCACCCAACTCTCAGCAGTCGGTAACTCACCCAACTCAACAGCCGATAACTCACCTAAAACGCCAACTTAGCACGGACAATCACCATGGCAGATGACACTAAGGTCAACGAACCCAAGGAAGAAACTCAACAACCAGTGAGCGATAGTGAGGAAATCGAGCAAATCACACAAGAAGAGGGACTGCCAGCAAAAAATGAAGCAGTTACAACGAAGCCAATCACCACTCCTGGGGAAATCAACAGTCCAAGTGGATCGTCAGGATCAACGGAGCCCGCTCAACGAAAGTCAACGCCTGCAGCTTCAAAAACAGCACTCACCATGCAACAGGAAGGTCAATTAAGACTATTAACGTTTAAGGTAGAGACTCTGATGGAGATCTATCATGATCTCCCACAGGACGTTGAAACCGAAGAGGACCTCACCCTAGAGGAATTAGACGGGCACAAGGGGATAATCGAGGCAGAATGGAGCGAATATTTTCAATTTTATGCCAATCTAGCCGAGTTTCTTCCCCCTGATCACGAGTATGTCAACGAAATGATCCATGAACGAGCCACCAGGATAAGACGACCAGCCCTGATGCTCATTGCTCGGCTGAAGGGTCAACTGGCAAGGAAGGACTCAATTAGCAGCTCAACGGATCAAAGCCAGGCAAATCAGCTAAAGCGTCTTGATATCAAGCCATTCGATGGGAAACCGGAGGAATGGAAGGAGTTCAGTGACCTTTTCTTATCACTGGTGGGAAATGTCACGTCAATTCCACCAGTACAAAAATTGGTGAGACTAAAGGGATGCCTGAGAGGTCCTGCAGCAGCTCTCCTCTCTACCTTTCAGGCCAAGGACGAAAACTACGAAAAGGGTTGGCAGAAACAGCTCCAACAAAGAAAAGGAGCACCTATACAGCAGCAACTCACCAGCAGGAAACTAAGGAGCCAGAAAGACAACTTCCTAGGAACTGCTGTGCCTACTGTCAGGACAAGCATTTTACCACATCCTGCCAGAAGTTCATTGAGCTCACCCCAGCGAAGAGAACCGACGTCGTTATCAACAAGGGGTTGTGCTTCAACTGCTTGGGGCCACACACGAACGCCAAGTGCACGTCGGACAAGAAGTGCCACAAATGTAGCAGATATCACCACACTCTCATCCATGGAGGGAGTTCATGGACGATGAGCCCGCCTCCAGCCCGACGCACTCCAGCTGAGCCCGTCCAGACTGCCGGAACATCCAGGCAGCAAGAGGATCACGGGAATAGTGAGTGAATGAATTCAACCTCAATAGCACACTCACCGTCTCATTAATCATTCCTCAACATTAGATTCCAGTACGTCACCACCAATAGCAGTGAACTTCAACAACAAAATGATCAATGAGAAAGCAGAGAACATCAACCACGAAACTCCCCAAGGAGAAGCAGATCAACAGTCAATGCTGTTGGCCACAGCACGAGTAAAAGTAATATCACCGAGAGGATTCACGACAAAAGCCAGAGCACTCATCGACCAGAGTTCAGAGGTATCGTTCATCTCCGAACAATTAGTTAATCAACTG